ACCATTCTCTGCTGGCCTTTCCCCATCCACACTCAAGGTGTATGAGGCTGCCATGGCAGCGTTCCACGCCCCTCTGAGGGATGTTCCTCTGGGGAGGCTTCCACTGGTCGTGCGCTTCCTCCAATGGAGCCCGAGGATGAGACCCGTGCTCTTTCCAGGGTTCCCACTTGGGACTGGCAGTGGTTCTCGAAGGGTGGGTGAGGCCCCCTTCGAACCCCTGGAGTTGGCTGAGGCCAATCACCTGACCCTTAAGATGGCCTTTCTCCTCACTATCACCTCTCTGAGGAGGGTGGGGGATCTCCAGGCTCTTTCGGTTTCTCCTCAAGCCTGGAGTTTCCCTCGGGGAGGGTCAGGGCCATCCTGCCCCCTGTCCGGGCTATGTCCCTAAGGTTCCGTCCAGTTTGGCAGAGTCTATGGTGCTGCAGGCGTTTCATCCCCCACCTCATGTGACGGCGGAGGACGGAGACTTCATCTGCTCTGCCCGGTCAGAGCTGAGTATTTTCACTCTGAGGTCCTCCCGGTGGAGGAAGCAGACCTGTTGCTGGTGTGTTTCGGGTCCCTCAAGGCTGGGCTCCCCGCTTCTAAACACACCATCAGCAACTGGATCGTTCAGACTATTTCACTGGCCTATTAGGTGCGCGGGTTACCTTCACCTATGGCCGTAAGGGCGCACTCTACTCGAGGCAGGGCTCGCTCCAGGATTTGTGTGAGGCAGCTGGCTGAGCCACTCCTCACACTTTCATCCGATTTAACAGTCTGGACCTTCCTTCTGCACCCGGCACCCGTGCGCTCTCTCCTAGTCGTGCCTACGGGTTACTGCACGCTGGGGGGCAGGCGGAGGCTTCGGCGTGGAATAGTGGGTATTCTCGTTCCCATAGTGTCGTCACCAACGCAGTTCAAGTTCCCTCGAAGGGGAACGTCACGGGTTACGTATGTAAATACGGGCATCAAAGCTAGACAATTTCTTGTCTATTGAATCATGGATCACTGTAAAATCTGCGCATTGTGAGGAGACCGCTCCAGGTGAGTCTTCAGTGCGGTTTCTTTTTGATTTTCCTATGACCACTCGTGAAAACACTGGTCAATGTACCTTCAATGTCCTCCAGAGCAATAGTATTTGTTAATTGGCGGATTGTTTGTTTTAATGAAATGTTTGTTTATCTGCACGCTGCCATGTTTCAGTTCAATTAAATTTTATTTATATAGCGCCAAATCACAACAACAGTTATCTCACAGCATTTTTCATAAAAGAGCAGGTCTAGACCATACTCTATGATGCTATTTACAGAAACCCAACAATTTCCACCAAGAGCAAGCACTAGGCGACAGAGGCAAGGAAAAACTTCCTTTTAA